ATTCATTCATTGCAAAAACATTTGATTCTGTATCAATAAATAGAGAACAGGTGCTTGATGTATAGGAATAACATAATTATTTGAGGTAGGTTAGTAATATGGTTACATTTTTAAGAATTCCTTGCCTTTTACAGCTACATACTGAAATATGTATGAACCAACGCTAAAAATAATCCTCTGAGAGACAGAGGCTGAGGGTATGAATACAATTTTAGAAGCTGGGTTTCTGGGGACCATTAAGGGCTTATTATGTTCTTTTTGATTTTTATTTTTTATAACATAGTTTGATGTTTCCTATAGTAAAAAGTTAAAAGTAAAAAACCAATCTTTGGCTTCTCCTGAAGTTGAAGGTAAAGGTTAAATTTACATTTGAATGAAGTGTTTGCATTTCACAAATCCCTTTACCAGAGAGGCTCCCACCTGGTCAAGGAACAGGAAGGGGAAAGGAGGCTGCAGTGTCACCTCATAAAGCACCAAGACCTATTCTAGAAGATGAAGGTGGCCTAAGATGGCTGACACCCTTCACATGTCAAACCAACTCACGTAGTCTGAACTGTCTTTTCCCATGTGATTTAATGAAAAGCCACTGTTGCAAACTATAGAGTTAAAAAACAAAATACGAGAACTAGTAGGGACCTATAGTGTGTGTGTGTGTGTGTGTGTGTGTGTGTGTGTGTGTGTGTGTGTACATAAGGACACATGTGTGGATATGCATGCACATCTATGTGTGTATTCTTGTGAAGAAGCCAGAAAACATTCTTGGGTGCTATTCCTTAATCACTGCCCACTTTTCTTTGGAGACAGAGTCTCTTGTTGGTCAGAAACTTGCCAAGTAGACTAAGCTGGTTAGTCAGGTAGCCCCCAGGACTCACCTGTCCCCATCTCCCAAGGCTGGGATGACAGGTGTGTTCCACCATGTCCAGTTTTTTCCACCTGACCTTTGGGAATAGAACTCAGGCCCTTGTGTTTGCAAGGCAACACTGGGACTAAACTAGCCCTTACCCCTGGAAGGGACACTGTGATTGTTTTCAGTTTGTCCATGGTGTCAGAGATGGGACTTACACTTGCCAGAGCTGACCTGGCTACAGCTGCTGCTGAGTGCCAGACATGCCAATAGCAGAGGCGAACACTGAGCCCCAGATATGGCACCATTCTCCAGGATGACCAGCCACTGACCTGGTAGAAGGTTGAGCACACTGGGCCACTTCCTTCACGGAAAGGACACTGCTTTCTCCGTACTGGACTAGGTACTTATTCTGGTTATGGACTTGCCTTTTCTGCATGTGATGATTCTGCCCACGCTTCCGTCCATGGACTCACAGAATGCCTTCTCTGTAAGTCACGGCACTCCCCACAGCATTGCTTCTGACCAATGACCGCACAGCCAGAGAAGAGCAGGAGCGGGCCCGCAGTCAGGGGATTCATTGGACTTACCATGTTCCTCAATTCCGGTATCAATGGCTGGGTCCCAGGGACACACAAATAATGGGGAACAGAACACCGAAGCTGAGGAACCAGAAGCAAACTTTATTCCAATCACAGCAGGGCACAAAAACCTTGCAGCTCGCTGGGGCCACAGATCAGAGTTTGGGCTTTCTGAGACTGTGGTAATGAAGCGGGTTTTGAGCCTCTTCTTAAAGTAGAAATCAGGCACCAGGTCTGGGTCAAAGGGCTTTTACAATCTTAAGGTCACATTACATTTTCAGACTTACAGATTTTGATTATAGGATGATAACTTGTTTGTGGAAGCCGGTGGCTATCCTGACATAGCTGCTTTTTATGTCCCTGAGAGAATGCAAGGCAGGGGGGCACACAGGAGGACAGTTAAAAGTTAAGTGACTGCAACACAGGGTGTCACACAGAAACAACTGTTGGAAGCTAACCTTTGTCCACTGTAACTGCTTGGCTGCAAGGCAGGAAGCAATTCAGAGGTTAATCTTTGGGCATTGTAGCTGCCTAGCTATAAGGCAGGAGACAATTGTTCAAAGTTTACTCTGTACACAGTAACTGCCAGGTTATCTGCTGCCAGGTCAGCTTCAATTTCCCCACAATATGTTTAGACTTACAATTTATATTCTGGACTCTTCGCTTATTTTTATCTTCACTGGGATTTCTATTGATGTGATGAACACTGTGACCAAAAACAACTCGGGAAGGAAGGATTTATTTGGCTTACATATCCTGAATCATAGTTCATGAGGGAAACCAAGGCAGGAACTCAAATTGGATAGGAACCTGAAGGCAGGAGCTGATGCAGAGGCCATGGAGGGGTACGGCTTACTGGCTTGCTCCTAACACCTTGTAAGTCTGCTTTCTTATAGAAGTCCTAACCACCAGGCCAGGGTTGGCACCACCCACAACCTGCTAGGCACACCCACATCAGTCAGTGATTTGACAATACTCTACAGGCTTGCCTAAGGCCCAGTATTACTAGGAAGTTACTTGTTTCAGGCTCCCTTCCCTCAGATGACTCTCTCTACCTTGTTTCAAACTGACAAACTAGCCAGTACAAGTCTATTTATCATAAAGGACACACACAAAAAGCCTAAGTCTCCCATGAAAGCTGGGAGCAAGCTGATATTTTCTCTCTGTCCCTTCATGCAGGAATGGAGGCTAATGACTCAGCTAACCAGATGTCCCCACCTTGGACATTTTGTGGGCGGAAGTGGTACACATGCATGTTCAGGAATTGCACAGTACTGCCTTTCTAGTGAGTGGGCATGCGCTCCTTGTCTTGCAAAGGAGACAAACAAGCTCATTCAGGGGCCCTTCTCTCCTGCTCTATAGGCATTTGTCTTCATCCACACCTGGAACCATTGCTGGGTGCCTGGATGCTGTAAGTCTATCAGGTGGGGCCTTTTGAAGCCAGAGGGGGGGAGAATGTGAGGCTCAGAACAGCATTCCTGCCTAGAACCTCCCGTCTGCCTTTGTATTTCCTGTTTATACTAGGCAAGCTCCATGTAGAGTTCGCCACACTGAGGGATAGACAAGATCTTTGCCAGAATCCATGAAGAAGGATTGAGGATAGGTCTGGGTGGCCCTGGTTTTGCTTATCAGGGTGAATGCTTTACTTGTGGGTGAGTCTCGAATGTAGATCTCCTCCAGCCCAGGCATTGACATCTTTCCTGTCCCCCTTCCCACCTCCCCCGTGCCCCTTCACTACTTCCTGTTTCTGAGTCTGAAAGTGAAGGAAGGCATATACATGCCAGCAGGGTCGCATTGGCAGTCAATCCTCCAATGGTGTCTCTGACAAACGATGTTCACTACTTCAAGGGATGTGGACTTCCTTATGGATTAAGCCAGGCAGAGGGGACATGAGGTAGACATTCTGTGGCCTGAAGTCCATGCCCCTCTGCCTCAGTTGTGTTAAAGAGAATACCCCACCTTTTTCTTCTCCTCCTCTCCATGCCCAGCATCTGCCACATGGCTCAAACTCTGATGCTCTCAGCAAACGTTATCAAGGGTGATGTTCCTATCCACATTTGCTTTTCTGTTTACCTGAATATTTGGGGTACAGGATTTCTGTGCAATAAACCTTCCTACTTCATTCCCACTAATTCTGTCTGTTTTATGTAGCCTACCTTGGTGTCCAAGTTCACTGGTAGTTGACCACCCCCCTTCCCTCATGGTCCTGTCAGGACACCGCAGCTTTGACTCACACCTGCCAACTGACAAGGACTTGGGCTCAGGACAAAATGAGGTCTGTGAACAGGGAAAATGCAAGGTTGAGAAGTAGAAACTTCTTGCTGATTCTGCTGAGAGAGGCATCAATGTGTGTTAGTGAGGGGGTGGTTGGCCAGGGTCCCTCTCCTCCCCAGGAAGGAGCAGCAGTAACCTTTGCTGACACAGTGCTGGCTGATCTGCCCAAAGCTAATGCCAAGTGCTCCCTCCATTAACCCTCTCCCCAGGAATCACAACCCTGAGCTTGAGATAAGGAAGCCCAGTGCTCAGCTGAAGGCCCTGGCTGCTGGGAGCAGGGGTGGAGGTTGCAGGAGCTCCCAGCTGCTTCCCTCCCCAGAGCACTGTGCTTAAAGGGGCACAGGGAGTCCTGTGTGCTTTCCATTCTGGCTGACCATGCCCCAGCGGGATGGGAGTGGGCAAGAGGGTACATGCACAATCTAGACTGCATCTCTCCAGGCACCTCCAGGACCAGGCCAGGGAAGTGTGTGATGGCTGATGGTGAAGGGCCCCACTGCCTGGAAGGGGGGCTTCTTAGATAAGGCAGGGGTGTTATAGACACCTGCCCTTCCCCATTACCAGAGAGCTCAGAAACTGTCAGCGTCACACAAGTAAGACATGGAACTGCAACCTCCTGAGGAGGTTGGAGAGCACAGTTACTAGAACATTTAAGCCTACCACAGTGGAACATCGTGAGAGCTGGAAAAACATCATTGGCAGTCTCCAAGGATGGGCTCCAGATTCAGTGCTCTTTGTAGAACCAGAACCTGAGCTGATGGGCAGCTAGTGGTTTTGTGTCCCTTGCCCAAGGATCCTAACCACCTTTTCAGAAGTGACGGAGGTCCTGTAGTATTAACCCAGATGCAGGTAGTTGGCACAGGTTGGGGCTCTGGAGGGACACACACACACACACACACACACACACACACACACACACACACACACACACACATCCCTTCCTTCTAGCTAGCCGCCACCTGAGAGTTTCCAGATGACATGTAATCCTTAGAAGCCATTTTCAAGGGGAAATCCCCTGCCTCTGCTCCTCTAGGGAACATGGAGCTGGTTACTGGAAGTCAGTTTTACAAGAAAGGGAAGGACTGTCCTCTGCTTAGCAAGGAGAGGAGGCGATTATGGTTCCTGGCTAAAGTGGACATGAGGGGGAGTGTGTCATCACAGATTGCACATGTGCATGTCTGGGGCTCCCTGGGTCTGTGTGCACATGTAAAGGGAGGGACTCAAAATGGCCAGGCCCCTGCAAAGGGCTGTGGATTTTGTCTCTGATGTCACAGGGCAAGGTCTTCCATTCAAAACACATTGCATTGCACTTCTGCCTTTTAATCCGGTGATGGCTGTTGTCTCTTAGGCCCAGAAAACATTCCCCTTCTCCCCAGTGCTCCTACTACCAAGGTCCCTCATCTCAGGTTCCAATCAACCCTAAGAGCTGCTTATGTTGAGCAATTCGTTTCTTGAGGACTGAGACAGTTTGGGGATCCAGAATCTCCAAGTCCTGGAGGGCATCTAGTAGCTGCTCCCTGGTGGTGCCAATGAAGGAATTCTCTAGGAAGGCAGGCAGGCCTCCTACACCATCATGCAAAGTATACAGGGGCACCCGCACCAGGCCAAAGACCTGTGAAGGGGAGGAGACAGGACAAGACACCATGGTCACTATAAGGAGTTTGCTTGAGCAGACACCACTCAGAACAAGTCCCAAGGCTTCACACTTCAGTGAGGCCCAATGGGCCTAACCCTGTACAGGTAAAAGCCCCCAAGACATGCTGTGTCCTTCCCCATGTGAATCCTTCCCACAGCACTTGCCTGAATCCAGACACAGCAGATGCAGGCACAACCCTGAACATCAGCAGTTCTATTCCATCTGGGTAGGCCTTGCTGGGGAACTCAAGAGAACTGCAAATTCACAAGCCTTCTTAAGGAGGGCTGCCAGCGGGAAGTCTAGAAGCTGCTTTCTTAGTAGGGAACTTTCAGTGTGAATGTAGGGGTCACTTTTCTACACCTCTCCTCTCCCTGAGTTTGGGTCTTGCCAGAATTAGAGCATCTCTTCCACGTACCTACCCACCCAGTCCCTTGCTCTCCTGGGCCCAAAGTAAAACTGCTACTGTGGTGTCATGCCTGACCATTATCATACTTGGGTGAGTGTGTTCTAGAAACTCTCTGCAGAGGCCAGTCATGTATGTGTGTGTAAAAGTTTCTTAGGTGATCACATTGGCGATATTATCGATCAAGTGCACAAAGTCTGACGACCAAGACTTCCCGAAGGGACCTACCCGAGAAGGTAGGGGTAAGAGGTACCAGGCTGGCCCTACCTCCAGCCCGTAGTCCTTGGCTAGTGGTGCTCTGGCTTCCACGGCCTGGAGCTGCTCCAGTGTCAGACACTTGACGTAGAAGTGGACCACCACTTTCGATTTAGCATCGGTGAAGGAGTTTCGGTAGTCGGTGTGTACCACACTGAAAGTAGACACACCCTCACCCAACTTATTCAGGAGTTCCTGGTTCAGCCCGTCCTCCAGGCTGGGGCATTGATCGTTCACAAAACCACCAGGGAAGCCCAGTCGCCCATCAAAGCGCATGTGCATCTGAGGGAGGAGGGAGTGGGGGTTAGCTGGGAGACAGAGAGGTGACCCCCAGGAAGGGCACAAAGCTAGGGCAGCGAATGGCTTTTCCCTACCAGCACAGCGTAGCGTAGTGGGATGCGGCCACCGAAGAGCGCCCGTGGAGTGGGAGCATACAGCATCACGTAAGAAAAATGCCGCCAGGCAGGTCCCAGGGCCAGCGCTTCCGCCAATTCCACCTTATTGGACGTGGCCATGGAGCTTTGCTTTTGTCCACTCACGTGGTTTGGCAGGAGATTCTCACACCAGACCACCAATGCCTGCAGGCAGGGTCCATGCGCAAAAAAAACGACACACCAGCGCATGTTTTGCTAGGGGAACAGCAGCCAATCAGGCTAGGACTTTTAGGTCAGACCGTGAAGAAAGCCCTAAGGAAGCTGAAAGGTTCCACAGGATTGGGCCCTGGACCAGGGCGTGGCTAAAGGCGTGGCTGGTGTCCTAAGTCATAGTTAGGAGGGTGGCAAAGCTCAGAGTCTCAGGTATTCTGTGTTGGGCAAGACCAGGTTACCAAGGAGTTCTGAGAACTGAAGGAACAGGGTGTCGAGAGAGCCGCCTCAGGTTTGATTTTGATAGAACTAGAAAACGTGGGGTTGGGAAGAATGAGTAGGATTTGTGACCTTATAAAAGAGACCCAGAGAGTTCCCAAGCCTCTTCTGATGTGTCAACAACACAAGGGTCCTCAATAGGCCAGAGAAACCTTCCTCCCTGCCCCTTGATCTTGGATTTGCTGATCCTCAGAGTATGAGAAATCAGTCCTGGTGGTTGGCTCTTCCAGTCTAAGTCATTTTGTTGCAGCAGTGGTGATGGACTAAGATACCAACCTTTAGGACTTTGGGGCCTACAGTCATATGTATAGTAGAGTCACCCTGTTATAGACCTTGTTCTGAAGATGTTTGTATTCTCCCGTATTATTAATATGCCAGGTGACACAGCAGATTTGCTAGGATCTCTCCCTCCTCTTTCTCCTTTTCCCTTCCCCTCTCACTCTTCCCTTTCTTCTCTCTCTCTCTCTCTCTCTCTCTCTCTCTCTCTCTCTCTCTCTCTCTCTCTCTCTACACACACACACACACACAGAGGGGCATAGACACAGACACACACACCACAGACAGACACACACACACTGGAGCATTCTCTCTCTCTCTCTCTCTCTCTCTCTCTCTCTCTCTCTCTCTCTCTCTCTCTCTCTCTCTCCCTTTTGCCCCTTCCCAGGTTTCTGCAGATGTAAAATGGCAATTTAGTGCAAGTGTCTCAAGTGTCTGGGTTGGTGGCACACGTTCTCAGGGATCATATCTCAAGGAACCTTCTCCACGGCCTGTTTGAATTTGTGTCTACAAGCATCCAGTGATGGTGAAGGTAGATCTGGCTGATATAGGCCATGTCATAAAGAAGACCTAACGTCTCTAGATGTAAGCAGAAAGCTGCTTCTGGGACTGCAGGTTCAGTGTTGCTGTAGTCTGTTATTCATTGGATCAGTTTGTCCACAGGCTTCCTCCCATTCCTCGGCTCCCATGGCTGCTGTCCCCACCTTCTCTCCAACTCTTGTGCTCAACAAGCTATGCCATGCTCTTCCTTACTTTGTCACGCTATTTCCTATCAGAGGACTGTTGGTTCTTACGAGGAAACTGTGCTGGACACCAAAATTGTCTAGATAGAATGTGATTGTGTTGTAAGCTCTAGCCCCCCTCATATGGGAGAAGGAATTATGTTTGTTCAATGACCCTGATCTCTCCTACCTCTATATACATAAATATTCCCATGTGTAAGCATCTGCATCTATATTAATCGGAACAGAACTTCACATTAATGTTTCCAGCTCTGATCCACCATGACATGGACCATCCTGTTCTCTCCCCCTGCCTTGAAAATATATTCATTTATATTTCTTAAAAATGGGAAGATTACAATTTAGCTTCATAGCTTTAGCGTTCTCTGCTCTTAGTCACACACTTTATTTAGTTCTGTTGTTTGCTTTTTTGTAGCTGTACTATCAAAAAGGAAATCATCCAACTCCAGTATTGTCTTCAGCAATGTCCCCTGCTAAGGAGCCTTGTTTTCAACTTAAAAAATAGCAAAGCCACAAGTGGTGGTTCAAACTCACAATCTAGGACTGGGGAGCCTGAGGCAGGAGGACTGCTGAAAGCTTGGGGTCATGGAGCATTCCAGGGCAACGTGGACTACAGGGAGTGTCTCCCTGGTACACACATCAACGCATCTCTAAACTTAGCACCTAATATCAGGTGTAAACTCAATGTGTATTCAGCTGGAATACAAAGAAGCAGACCCCATTTGTGGAAGACAGGGCTCCAGTAGATTCCATTTCCTCTCTTGCGACATGAAAGCCACAAAGACAGGGTTCACACTTTACCTGGGCTATTTTGCAAAGGAGCATCTGTTTTTAGTAAAAAGACACATCTGTTTGAGACACCCCTCTTAATTTGTAAAAATCAATGCCCCTGCCTCAGATAAAGCCTGGGGATTTGAGTGTCAGGGAAAGGAGAGAACACCAGAAAGTTAGTTTATTGCCACGATGACATGTGAGGATCAAGCACAAACCCGGAACAAACATCTGTTTCTTTCTCAGGAGTCTATGAATTGTCTGAATGGTTGTACTTTAGTGTACAGAGGCTGGGCTGCCTCAGGAGGACTCTGCTCCAATTCCCATGCTCGTGTGCCCCGACCTGCAGGACATTCAACCTAGGTCTGGAGGACACCTAGGAGAAAGACGGGGGATAAGAGATATGAGGAAGTACAAGACAGGATTCTGATCAAGTCGATAACCTTTATTTCATTCCAAAGGGATTTATATAGGGGAAGTGAGGAGGGGAAGGAAAGGGGGTTCTTGACTGCAGCTGCAAGGATGCTGGCAGGGCAAGAGGTCAGTGGGAGGGGCAGGTCATACTGTGTCCTCTGGTAACCTACCTTTCACAATCTACCCTCTATTGTTCAAGCCTATGCCATAGTGACTTGGTATTTTACACTAGGCAGATAAATTGCAGGTCTGTTTTCTCGGAACTTGCTTCCTATCTTAAGAGGTGGTATTTCTGCAGTGTGGCCTGGAGTCACGTCTTCTCTATGAGGACATGATGATGCTATGGCTGGATTATTGTTGAGGCCCCTGACACTCGTGTGTCATAAAACAGGTGGAGAGGCTGGAGATGACAGCAGGTTAGCAGACCATATTCAGGGACCAGCACATTTCCAACTCAGCCAACTTAGGCTCCAAGGCAAAACTCAAGAGTCAAAGCACTGAAAAATAGCCTTAAAGTTACAAGGCCACAGCCAGGGAGTATGGGGAGGGGTGAACCAGACAACTCCATCTATCAGAGAGGTAAAAAAGTCACTTTTATGATCAACAAAAATGTTTCTAGCTGTTGAAGGACTACCTGCCAGACTAACTTGGAGTCCATTTGTCTATTGTGCAGGTCTTAGTCTGTCTCCTCTTGTTATAACACAGTATTAGCACCCATAGACCAGATCATTTATAGAGAACAAAAATTGCTCACACTACAGTTCTAGAGACTGGAAAGTCAAAGGTTAAGGAGGCAGATCTAGTGATAACCTTCTTATTGATGGAGATTCTTTGAAGAATCTCCAGGTGGTACAGTCATCACATGGCCAGAGGAGCCATGTTTTATAACAGACAGATCATCCATAAACCAACGACTGCATCCTCCAGGCAGGCAGAAATTTTTGACCCAATCACCTCTTAAAGGTCCCACCCAGGCTCACTTTTTATGTCTCATAAGGATTAAATTTCAACAAGTTTTGCTGTAGTCCTACCTAAATTCTAATGGTCATTGTACTCCTAGTAAATATTTACCAATATAGTAATTATTTGTTGAACCATATTTATGAACAGTTTCTGAAATTGGGGAAGAACTGAGGCCTTCCAGGAAGATTATTTTGAGGCTATCCTGGCAACTTATAGAGGTGAAGTGGGGGAAGGTGGTCTGGAAGGCAAAGCTGGTCCTAGGAGCCAGCCATTCACTCTTATGTGCAGAGCAGCCATCAAAGGCCACTCAAAGTGTCTGAAAGTGATCATCTTTTGGGGTGTGTTTGCAATGGAAACAGTAGAACCTTAGAAGTGAAGGGATGCCCGTGCATGCAGGTTCAATGACCGAAGTTCAAGTAGGCTAACCACATAGTCAATGATTCTTCTTTTCCTTTAACACCAAGAGCACTTACAGTCATTTGAAGTCCTGCTACATACCATGATGGTAATTTCCCATGATTCCACCTATCAGCTGCATTCTTCTCAGTGGTAGTCAGAGGTAGCAAGAAACACACACACCGGTTCCTTCTCTTTGCTTCATTTCTCTTTTACTCTCCCAGTAGCCTGGTTCTCCATTCTTCCTAGTTAATGTCTCATCTTAAGGAAAGCTGCAATATCTTTACTCATGAACTATAATTTAATGTGTCGCCTCTTTTATGCTGATGCCAGGGAGATGACTTGACTCTTACAAGACCTAGGGCATTTTTTCCAACTCCAGCCTTGAAGCCATCCTTCTCCCTGGTGAGCTTTATCTCTGAATCACCTAAAGGAGCAGGTGGCATTTCTTCTGTATATATTGAAGGCAGAATATGTGTGTGTGTGTGTGTGTGTGTGTGTGTGTGTGTGTGTGTGAGAGAGAGAGAGAGAGAGAGAGAGAGAGAGAGAGAGAGAGAGAGAGAGAGAGAGTTTGAGCAAGCACAGCAAGGCACAAAGGCCCTTCATCTCCCATCTCTGTGACTTTTTCATATCTGTCATCTTTCATTGATTAGTTATTATTAGTTATCCACACTGAAGTAGCCCCAAATTAAGACTGTATTGCTGAAGGAGAAAGATGTAATGACAGACACTCTTTTTCAAGTCAGGTCAAATCTTGCCCCTCACTCCCACACCATTGAGCTAAAGGGAAGGTAAACTCCAGTGATCTTTAAGAGGATATGTTCCCAAACCCTATTACTCTGGCTCTCCTTTCTCCTAAGACTGATGTGTCAAAAACACAAATCTCCAGAGAGTAGGAAGTTATCCCTCTGTGCCTGTCTTCTTAGAAACATGTTCTAAAATGCAAGATGTCCTCTGGGCACATTATGAATTCCTCTCAGATGCAGCAACTCACACAAGCATCATTCTGTTTTGATATGATAATGACCATCATTAAGGAGACTAGACACACTCATAACTTGGCTTCTTTTACAGCCTGTCCTCTTCTGACCAGCTGGCCATCTGGTTGGCTGTCAAAGGACCTGGTGTATCCAGAGAACTCTTCCTGAGGGGAGGTCTCATCCTTGTTACCACACAAACTGTCCTCTCCTCTGAGTAAAAATTATAAACAACACAAAATGAGGGCATGAAGTTAGAGTGATGGGGTGGGGTGCACAAGG